AACCCCCATACATCGCCAGGGTAGTGTACCAGCAAAATGCTGTAGCCACTCCCTAGCCAGTTTGGCTCAGTGGATAGAGCGTCGGCCTGCAGACTGAAGGGTCCCAGGTTCGATTCTGGTTAAGGGCATGTACCTTGGTTGCGGGCACATCCCCAGTGGGGAGTGTGCGGGAGGCAGCTGATCGATGTTTCTCTCTCATCGATGTTTCTAACTCTCTATCCCTCTCCCTTCCTCTCTGTAAAAAATCAATAAAATTCTAAAAAATGCTGTAGCCACTTTGGAGACCATTTAGTAGTTTCCCATAAAACTGAATATATATTTGCTGTAAAACCCGTATGATCCCACTCCTGGGTTCTTACCCTAGAGCAGTGGTTGGCAAACTGCAGCTTGCGAGCCACATGCGGCTCTTTGGCCCCTTCAGTGTGGCTCTTCCACAAAATACCGACTTCTGTGCATGGGCCACAAAGTTTCAATCGCACTGTACGTGCACGCCCGCACGTGGTATTTTGTGGAAGAGCCACACTGAAGGGGCCAAAGAGCCGCCTGTGGCTCGCGAGCCGCAGTTTGCCAACCACGGGGCTTGGTGATTTGCCCATGGTCACCCAGTAAATGCTAGAGCTGCATTTGAATGCAGACAATCTGACACTGACGTAGGAGGACCACACTGAGCTTTAGCCCTGGGTCATATGCACAAAAAGGGGCTGAAGTCTAGGTTTAAGAAATGGGCAGTTAAGGTGTTTGTGTGTGTACATTGTGTGTACCTATGCTTTGAGAGTAAGGGGATTCGTTAGGGAATCCTGTTGATTTTTGTTGTTATAGATCTGACAATTCAAGCAGAGAAAAATTGACTTTTAGGTAAGCAAAATGTTAATCATTTTAAGGCTTAGCATTAATGCCTTCTAACAATTTTGCAAATGCTAAAGGATCAGGTTAAATCTACGTGCCTGTCATTTGATAATAGCATCAAATCATGGTTTGTTGCTCAAACAGCAGGCTGATTAATCGTAAGTTAAAATTACCAGGAGGGGGAATAATGGACATTGTGAATCCACTGAACTTCCCTCTGTATTTCTGGGAACGCACACTCATATGGCAGAGCAGGGCAGTGGCCTCAAGTGCTCTGTAGACAGACAGCAGAAGTAACTAACCATCACTGGCTCCGTGTGGCTCACCTTGACCCCCTGAGGCAAAGGAGATACTCAAATACCACTGTAGTTTAAGGGTCACCATTGGCCATTAGTCTCCTGAGGTTTCATCCTTTCTTATCTCCACCCTCACTCCTGCTGGAGTGGTTCTCTGGATCCTGACCCCCCTACCAGGGTCTGTATCCAACACTTTAGCATCAGGAGCAGGTAGGAATTCACACGCCCGTCCTGTCCTAGCACTTCCTGTCATGGAAGCCTGGTATTCCTGAGTGGGACAAGTCCAGGCCATGAACCTGTGAAAGAGGATGAGGAATCTATTTAAGATAACCTTGGTGTTTGTCTGGGGCTTCGCATGTTATATCTTCTAACAGCCACACGGGGGCAGCAGAGGCACAGCACGAGCTGTGCTGTGAGCAGAGCAGTGGGTTTTTGTGATAAAGAGTCATCTCTCCTTCCCTCTCCAGGCTGACCGTAAAACAACAAAACCACACGTGGCCATGGTAGAAAAAATAAGAAAATGTAGTCAATTGTTTTATTGCAGCCTTTTTACCCAAACACATATTTACGTTTTGGAATATTTTATGCATTTTATAAATTTGGAATATTTTATACATGGATGCATTTCTATTGTACACACTCTTTTGTTAAGAAAATTTTCCATTTAACAAAATATAATGGCCATATTTTTAAATCAATGAACATATTTCTACAGAATCCTTATTCCTGTCAGATTTGGTAAAGAGCTACCATCTGAGGAACATTGGCACATCTGAGTCCATGGAACAGCAACCTGAGTTTTGCCAATTGTTCTTATCTTTTTAAATAATGGCCGTAGCTATGTTTATATGATATTAAATATTATATAACATGAGGTATGGGAACTTACGGCGTATTTGAGCATGGGGTCTGCATGTCTCATGTTATTCTCTGTGAGTCAGTGATGGGTTTCCCTCTGTCTTCTTTACTGTGTGGAGCCTTTCCCCAGCCATCAGTCTGTGGGGACCTCCCCTGGGAAAACCAGCCTCATGTCCATGGTCTCTGCTCTGACTTGGGACCCTCAGGAGCCTTCACTGTGACTTCCCCCACCTAGGCCCTGTGTGCTCTCCTGGCATTTCTTCTCCCCCAAGACTTACCTGCCCTGATAGACAAACCTTTTACGGTGATAACGGCTGACAACTGATTGATCTGCCATCTTCCCACAGATGATCTTGCCAGGGAGCTCCTAGGGTTGTCGTTTCTAAGTCCAGCAGCTTTCGATGTGTTTTGACTCAAGAGGTCAGGAAATGAAAGCAGAGCTGCTCTTGAGCCACAGGGATGTGGGCCTGCGTTCCCTCTGACTTCTTCCCTCTTTCCCACTCCCTGCCAAGGCCTCCCTTGCTCCAAGGACACCGCACAGTCTCCTGCCCTAAACCAGGCCTGAGGAGTTGGTGTTTTGGGTGTGTGGTAAGGGGAGACTTTTGGACCCTTTCCTCACATCACATCGTGTAGGTGACCCTGTGTTTGGAATAAGTACAGGGCTGGGCCTCATGAACACACACCTGTGTTTGTGTTCTGTTTATGCTTTTTGTATCGTTGTCCTTTGGAGGTAGCTGGGCAGAAGTAGAGGTGACTGCTGAGAGACTAGGAACCTGGGTCACCAGAAGGGGGATGGGACACCTTGGGTGCCATTGTTTCCTATGACAGGACATGGTGGGAAAGGTGAATAAGAATTTCATCACTGACCAAATTAAAGAAAAAATTACACCTCTTTCATGATACTGAAACCAGACAACCAATGGGTCTGGGCTTCCTGTCACTCTTTGAGCCAATCAGCAGAGACAGGGTTGAATCATATATGAGCGTTTATTCCAATAATGCTGGCAGGATAGGAGAGCAGCAGGTCATCCACAAAAACTTGCTCTCTACCTCCCCTCTACCCCCCCCCCGTCAGCTGCTTATATTGGGTAGAAGGACAAAGATTACATGGGGAAGTGGGCAAAGGAGTAGGAATGGGTATGCAAAATGGGTGTGATGGTTACAGTTTACAGGCAATGTGGGCTGGGGGTTTGCAAAAGGCTTGGAGTTTGCAAAGGGCTGGCACCTCTGGTATCTGCAACAAGGTTGTTAACCTTTCCATGATAATAGGCAGCTCCCTGATGGGGGGGAGGGACTGCATTTCCAGGTGAGCCCCCAGGTCCCGCATGCAACTCCCAGCTGGGTGACACCGTGCTTTCTTAAATCAGAACAGAACACTCAGGCTTAACAGGGCATGGTTAATATTTCTTATTTTATTTCTTATAACTGATAGCTAGTCCCCAATATTCTATTTCTGCCTCTAACATTACTATTTCTGTGCTGCACCCCACAAGGGACTTTTCCATCCAGATGAAAATGAGTGCTCAGATTACTCAGTTCTGAATCTTTCGGTTTATATCGCCCTCAGCAGCAGCCACCTAACATAGTATAGGTTTCTAGGTGAAAAGGCCCTGTTAGCTGAGCTCAGAACTGGAAGAGGATGGGGACAGAGAGGAGATGAGGTCCTCTCAACCCTTCTGCAGCCTTCCCCAGGGGCCTCTGGAGCGG